ATTATCAATGCTAATATTAGTATCTCACTATAGATTATCAATGCTAATATTAGTATCTCACTATAAATTATCAATGTTAATATTAGTATCTCACTATAGATTATCAATGCTAATATTAGTATCTCACTATAGATTATCAATGCTAATATTAGTATCTCACTATAAATTATCAATGTTAATATTAGTTTCTCACTATAGATTATCAATGTTAATATTAGTTTCTCACTATAGATTATCATTCAGGTATTTTGTATGATGAGGGTGAATCCTGGGTTCCTAAATTCTAACTTATGTATACTTTTATTTTTGTCTTAGAATATAGAAATCAAACTCAGTGATATCAGAGAGAGAATGTAGGCATGCAGCTGCTGTGATAAATCACTGGTAATAGTGTGTAAAATTATTTGCCAGTGTTTAAGATACTTTTTTTTAAATACATTTCAAAATTTAAATGATTTTTTAATGGCTTTCATTAGATTGGTTAAAACTTGCATTCCTTTAAATTCCAAAAAGAGAAACTTTGTGAGAATACTAAGCATAAAGAGTTAAACTATTATTTGAGACATAATTATAAATCCCCTGTTGCAACAACCACAAGATAACAGTAGAGCTTGAAACTCAAATATTTCATTAATCTGGTAAAGTTGTTAATATTCCTAATGTTTGTGTAGTTTGGGAATGTTTTCCCTTTATGGAAGATGCAGCTTGTGGTCAAAAGTCATTATGTAGTAAAATTATGGACCTTAATGAACCTAAACTACCCCCTTCTCCATTACTCTATTGCATTTTTCTTTAGCTACAAGTAATATGGGAAGTAAAAGTGAATTTATTTAAAATGTAAAAAATAATTAACAGAGGAATGATGGAAAATCATGTTTTCTATACCTTAAATATTATGAAATGTTTAGAAATACTTTATTATCAGATTTTATCATCACAGTTAATTAAATTAATTGCATCAGTAAATTCTGTCACAAAAGAGAATTGGCAACTTCTGAAACATTTACTTTGAAGGTTTTGACAAGCTTGAGACAGCACATGGCTGTACGGTAATGTAATGATTTTACCAGAGATGTAAACTATATTAGCCATATCACCAAAAGGAGTGTACACACGAGAGTTTACATTTGTACCTTGATGATTTTTTGAAGATTTGTAAATGGGTGAAAAGTAAGTCTGATTGTATCCAACTTAAGGAAACTTTTAATCATACATTTGTTAAATTTGTAGAATACTTTTTTGTTTCAACAGCCTCATTGTTAACCTTCTAAATATTATAAGCACAAAATCCTTGCCAGTTGGATGTATTTCTCTGAAAGATTAGCAATTATTATTGTTAAATGTGTTGCAAAGGAAAAATCATCCGTTGATTATTTGTTAACATTGTGTACAAATTTACAAATTTAACCCTTTCTACTCAGGCTGATGCAATTTGTATAACTTTGATTGGGAAAGGAGATTTATGCAAAAAAACATACAGTAAGTCTGAGCATTCCTCGCAAAACCTCATAAGATTTTTGTTAAAGTTTATAAGTATTTTGTATACAAATAATAACATTATTTTTATTACATCTTTCTAATAAAAATGTTATTCATCTATAGTAGCTATTTGCACTCAAACTGTTAAAATAGTTTGAGTGCAAGGTGATTTTCATTTTAAGTATAAAAAAATACTTCATCTTTTAGTTTTCATATTTCATTTGAATAACCTCTAGAACCTCCTAAATGAATATCAAAAGTTTTTAAGATAAATGTTTATATTTTTTTCATTTTCTCTACCTTATCACTAACTCTAGCTATTATCATCAGCGTACAATGCAATGAAATAATTAAAAGTACGAAATTGAAAAAATACATACCTTTTCATTTTTTTGGTAGAATATCTTTAAAGATTTTCTTTTGTTAAATTCA